CAGGGTCTCCACTAAGATATGCCTCCCCATCTACCCATCTGTTGTAATATGAATTTCTAGCATTCCTTGACCACCATATGAAATATGACATAGACTAAACATGTTTTAACACCTGAGGCATGGTTTGGGATTTTTTCACACCACTCGGTTTCATTTGTTAACCACCTCTTTAATGTCAGTGTCTTGCTCAAGGACACTCCGACATGCGGCAGGAAGAGCCAGGGATCGAACCAACAACCTTCCAATTAGGGGACAACCCGCTCTGCCTCTGCACCACAGCTGCCGCTATAAGGAGCCATGTTTGAAGCAAACAACATAACCAGAGAGCCAGAACCATCTTCTGGTAGCAGAGAACTAAAATACTTCTCACAGCTTTCCATGACATCTGCAGCAGAGGTGGCTGAGAATCACATTACTGTAATAGGCCTGTTGCCTGCATGAGATACATAAGGGAGCTTACAAAATAGAACTTTTCACTCTAATGAGGTAATGTGCGAGAACCCACTCTCATGAACTTACAGCAGTACATTGTGATAGATGCTATGCACAGTTTTACAGCTTTCGTCATCTCTTTAAAGGCTTTTTTTCTTTCCCCAAATGGTCCTCTGTCAGCTTTTAAAAGCCTCCTAAAACACAGAAGAGGCTAACAATGACCTAATGCAAGCTCTCTTCACACTAACACACAGAGTGCTGGGATAGTTGGAGAAGTTGTGTGCTAGGTTCCATCTGTATGGAGCCCCGGAGTGGCCAAAGAGAGGAAAAAAAACCTGAATATATGAAGGCCAAATTTTACTCTCAAAATGCTATTGTGTGTGCATGAGATACAATTTGTGTATATACAGATATGATTGTTATGCTGATAGTCATTGATTACAATAGGAATTTCCAGAATTCAGATAAGCTTGGAATCACCTGAAATGCAAGTTGGATCATGTCTTGCACACTATAATCATATTCTGTGTGTTGAAGGAATGGCTGACTGAGGCTACTCCAAACGAAGTTCTGTGCTATGTCTAACTAAAACTAATCCACCACAAGATCTGTCAGAGTCACAAGTTCAAGGGGTCAGGCTCCACTCTTTTTTGTTATACTGTACCCCTAAAATTAATCAAAACACAGGAATTAATTGTATCTCATGCGCACATAATAGCATTTTGAGCACTTAATATAGTCAAATGTGTCATATCTCTCTCTCTCTCTCTCTCTCTCTCTCTCTCTCTCTCTCTCTCTCTCTCTCTATATATATATATATATATATATATATATATATATATATATTATTTTTTTTCTTCTTAATTTTAAAATGGTTTTGACAGCTAACAACAACAACAAAAAAGCTTAATACGGACAGAAAATTGTATAAAAAGTTCTCAAAAATTGCTGCTCAAAATTCATCCAAATTGCTTTTTATTGTGTCTGTAAAAGTGTGTCACGTAGTCAGGGCTCCCTTAAGGTCCCTTAAGCTGTCCTATATCATTAGATAAAGAATAAAACGTGGGTGGTCGTCTGCCTCGACCAGTTGGGGTGAGAGAGAGAGAGAGAGAGAGAGAGAGAGAGAGAGAGAGAGAGAGAGAGAGAGAGAGAGAGAGAGAGAGAGAGCGAGACAGACAGACAGACAGACAGTTGCACAGTAACAACAGTAGCAACAACTACACTAATAGTAGTGACTGATGATGATGAACATGAAGATGATGACGACGACAACAGCAATGATGGGGGACAATGAGCAGTGACAATAGTAATAATAGTATCTGTAGTAGTAATAATATTAATAATAATAATAACAATATCAGTGATATTAGCAATGGCAGTCAAGCAGGACCATGGCAGGAGGCTCCACCAGGATCCATGAGAACCTGCGAGACGAGAAAGCACAAGAACTCAGAGGAAGAAGTGAAGTTAGTAACATGCATTCATGGAACATGAATGAGTGCAGAAAGAGAGAGGGAGGAAGAGAGGAGCTCAGTGCACCATGGGATTTAAAGGCCATCCTGAATGACAAGAAGAGGGCGTTCAGAGATGGCAACCGTGATGAGGTGAGGAAAGTGCAGGGGGTACTCAAACTCACAATCAAGGCGGCAAAAGACAATTATAGGAGAAAGCTGGAGAAAAAACTCCAGCAAAACAACATGAGGGATGTGTGGAGTGGCATGAGAACCATCACTGGGTTCCAGAAGACTGGTAGCATGGGGTTGGAGGGATGTGTGGACCAGGCCAATGAACTGAACCTATTTTTCAATAGGTTTGATACTGCGGCCCCTCCCCCATAAGACTCTGCTGCTGGCTGCCCAACAACAACTGCCACTCTACCTCCCCATACTCCCCCTCCTTACAGACCCCTTGTCTGCCCCTCACCACCTCAATTCACACCACCTACTGCACCCCTCCCCCTGCTCTGCATCATGTCCTCCACAACCTGAGGATCTCACCCCTCGCCCCACTGTCACCTCTACAGTGTCCTTCACATCTGACCTGGTGAGAAGACAGCTGACGGGACTCCACTCCGGTCCCTGTGCTGTGGAAGACGTCCTGCCTCGCTCCTGTGCAAAGACACAGGACTACAGACCGGTGGCCACATTATGAAGACCCTGGAGAGGCTCCTCCTGGAGCAGCTAAGGCCTATGGTCAGGCCTTTCACTGATCCACTACAGTTCGCCTACCAGCCCTGCCTGGGAGTTGAGGACGGCATCATCTACCTGCTGAACAGAGTCTACACTCATCTGGATAAGCTGGCGAGCACTGTGAGAGTCATGTTCTTTGATTTCTCCAGTGCTTTCAATACCATCTGTCCGGCTCTACTGGGTGAGAAGATGGCTGCGATGCAGGTGGAGGCCCCCATCGTGTCCTGGATTGTTGATTACCTGACGGGCAGACCACAGTACGTACGCCTACAGAACTGTGTGTCTGTCAGGGTGGTCAGCAACACTGGGGCCCCACAGGGGACTGTCCTCTCTCCCTTCCTCTTCACCTCAGACTTCAACTGTTGCACCGAGTCCTGCCACCTTCAGAAGTTTTCTGATGACTCAGCAATAGTTGGTTGTATTGAAAAGGGTGATGAGAGTGAATACAGGACTGTGGTGGGTAACTTTGTCACTTGGAGTTAACTGAATCATCTGCAGCTCAATGTGACAAAGACGAAGGAGCTCATAGTGGATCTGAGGAGGGCGAAAACACCTGTGACCCCTGTTTCCATCCAGGGGGTCCCTGTGGACACTGTGGAGGAGTATAAGTACCTGGGGGTGTACTTTAATAATAAATTGGACTGGACCAGAAACACCGAGGCGGTCTACAAGAAGGACCAAAGCCGACTCTTTTTCCTGAGGAGGCTGAGGTCCTTTAACATCTGCCGGACGATGCTGAGGATGTTCTATGAGTCTGTTGTGGCCAGTGCGATCTTCTTCGCTGTCACATGCTGGGGCAATGGGCTGAAGGTCGCAGATAACAACAGACTGATCAGGAGGGCCGGCGATGTCGTGGGGGAGGAGCTGGACACCCTGACGACCGTGGCAGAGAGGAGGATGCTGTCCAGGCTTCAGTCTATCTTGGACAATGTCGCACACCCTCTCTACGACACACTGGCTCAGCAGAGGAGCACCTTCAGCAGAAGACTCCTCTCACCCAGATGCACCACAGAGCGCCACAGGAAATCATTCCTGCCAGTGGTCATCCAACTTTACAACGCCTCCCTCAGAGTCACTCTGTTATCTGACTCAAAGGGGCAAGAGGCAATCATTTTTGCACTTTTTGCACATTATTAAACTGTACATTTTATCTTTTATATATAAAAGATAAAATGTACACTGAAAAAAATTTGGAGTGACATTTACTTAAAAAAAGCTAGGCAAGTTTTTCCACACAGAAAGTGCTTGTAATCTTTACTCAGGCTATTTCTAAGTAATATTTACCTATGAGAACCACTTATTTTTTATGAAAAATACACAAGTAAATTGCACTGGCAATACTCACCTATAGACCATTGCATCTAATTACAAAACCCAAGTAAACGTTGATGATGTTTCTTTGTGTTTCTTACTCATCTTTTCTTTGTTATATTCTATATAATTATTAAGTAATATTTATATTGAATGTATTAGTTAATATTAATTGAATTAAGTAAATATTTTTACTATTCTATTCAATAATAATTCAATATTTTCCAAAAACAAATATTGAAAGACACTTTTAATTCACATTTGAAATGATAGATATATTTAAAATATCTACATAACATTATAACTACAAACACATAGCCATAGAACTTCTTGCTAGCAAATTTCAAAACAATGCATATATACATATACATAGAGTACATACATCAAGGGAGTTCAGAGACCGTTATAAAGCTCAAAAGTAAAGCAGTGTAGAATTTGAAAAATTAAATGCGGAATGACAAAGCACCAACTGACTTTAGGACTGATATTCCAGCATACAAACGAATACAGTGTTACAGTTGACTTTTCCCTTCCAATTCTGTAATTCCATCAATTGGGATCTATTACAAACTTCAAAAGATTGAAGCTTTCACTTCCCCACGGATTTTATAGGCAGAAGTTCATTGAGGGGAAAAGAAATCCTCAAAGTTTCAACCAATCAGATAGCTGGCCTTAGCAGGGGGAAAAAACATGCTATTCAAAAACTCAGCTTGCACTGTCCCCTTTCTTCTAATCAACTTTCAGAACAGTAAAGAATACATCAACTCTGTCCATTAACAGTTGCAATCACTACCTTTGCGGACATTCTCAGGATGTTCAGGACAGAAAGAACTTATATAAAACTGAGCAACACTTGAAATCACTGTCAGAAAACTGACACAAAATGCAAACAAATTGTTTGTGCTGGACAAAAGCACAAATAACACTGGCGCTTCAAGTTTCTTGTGGAGAGACTGGACATTTGCTGACATTCTCAGGGTGATCAGGACAAAAAGAGCTTATATAAAACTGAGCAACACTTGAAATCACTGTCAGAAAACTGACACAAAATGCAAACAAATTGTTTGTGCTGGACAAAAGCACAAATAACACTTAAACACTCATGCTAAAAGTTTCTTGTGGAGAGACTGGACCTTTGCTGACATTTTAAGGATGTCAAGCTCAAGAAACAGCTTCTGAAATACTTCAAACGTATATTTCAGTTTCAGTGGGTAACTTAAGTTGACAGCATAGATGACACCCATGAGTAGGAGGCAAGCGTTTGACACACTTCCGCAGTCCTCCAGAACTTCTGTCCCCTCAATGATGACTGACACTTACACGGGATCTTGGTTTTCCTGTGCCACGTTGGGATGGATGACGGTGATCTTCATCATGTGATTACTGCAGTCCTCTTTCACTGCTTCTTGGCTGACGTCCTGTGAAAACAAATAAGCCACAATTAGAAATAACTAAGAATAGATTCCAAGTAAAAGAAAAGGTAAAGAGAAATTTTTTTTAAATAAAAACAAAGAGGTATACTCAATTTAGTGTACTCAAATCATACAATATTCATATGGCACTTTTCATACGTAAAGTTACACATCGTGCTTCACAGAGGCTGACCCTGAGACAAAGAAAGTCACTTTTGGGGGCCATCCAGACTGAGAGGGGTCAACGCCCATGACCACAGGGAGTGCCGCCACAGTGACCACCCTGGCCCGGGCAGACAGGAGGCTCCGCACAGAGGTGCAGAGCCCTCCAGCCACCCAGGCTGGAGCTGTCCATGGGATGGCACCTGTGTTGGTAGACCAGAACTACTCCCAGTGTGGAAGGTCCCCATGGGGGAAACAGTGTAGCTGAAAACTAAATTAAATTAAATACTCTTTTGCTCATAAAATAAAGTTAATAAGTGATCGTTAAATAGTCCGAAAAACAGAGACAAAAGGCAAGTTAAAGTTTAAGATAGATAAGATAAAGATTAAATATGATTTAAAAAATAAAGGGTAAGAGCATAAAAAGAATTTAAGAAATCAGTTAAAAGCCTGATTAAAAATATGCATCTTGAGTCTCTTAAAAAACATCACAAGTGTAGAGAATCTTTGACCTTCAATATAATATCACAAGTGAAGACCAGATTATAAGGCTAGACAATCATTTTAATATGGTCATGATGATCATCAGATACCTGATAGTCTTTGATCAGCTCCTCTCCACTCTCTCCAAGGTACTCAACTAAGCAACGGATGATAATGTCCCTTCTGCCATCGACATGATGCTATTAAACACAAAAAAAACATAACATATGTAACATACATACATACATAACAGCACATACAGATGTAAACAGAAAGTTACCCAATGGGGAATGTAAGCCTGCAACTGCATTCTAACGATGTGAAGTGTGCAACTTAACAAGAATTTCTTAACGATGTGTGTTGAGACAAGTTGACAAGAGTCAATGTCTAGTGCATGTCATAATCTGTGGGTCCAGAAACTCTGTCTCTGCCCAGTGAGGGAAGTTTTCTGCCTCATCAATGGACCTACAAATGAATTTTTCGCAACATAACAGTACCTTCCTATCACAAAATGAACCAGGCAAGGACAGGAATTCCCACACGCAAGGGTAATATTTTGGGAAATGATTGTATTGGAGTCTATGGGCAGTAGGAAGGGATCTCGCTGCACTCAGAGGGTCAAAATTCTATAAATGTCTCTGCTTTTGAGCGCATATTAAGGGAGAGATGACATGTTTGTATACACTTGTGGAGAAAATCATGTGCATAAATTGTTAATTGTGGCCACAGTGACAGGATAAGGGAACAGTTTCAGACCAACACAGACACTGATCAGATTAAATAAAAGAGTGATACATTCTCAGTGTGTATGACCTCATCATTAGATTATGTAATTAAAATAATTTGAAATTTTACCTCATTCAGTGAGTCCAACATTGGTTTTATTTTGGTCCCTGCAGTCCCGCCCTTCCTCCGAAATATCTCCAGGAGTTTGGTGGTGTACCTGTCCAATCTGGACAAAAAGGTTCGCTCCAGATGCATCGTGGTTATTCGTTTAAACTCCTCTTTGATCTGAAATGAGAGATAAAAACACAAAATCATGTTAAAGATGACTCATGAGATCTCACATACACTTAGTTGCTGCATGAACAAGAACTGGATTTACCTGATTTTCACAGAACAGAGAAAGCCATCTCTCCAAGAGGTCTTGGATTGCGGGGTAATCCTGGACATGCCTCTGTTCTTCGCATAGCGAAAAGCTTTTCCATTTTCTCATTAATTGCCCTCTCATTGTTCTTCTTCTTTATTTCCTTCAGCAAATCTAGTCTCTCCTTCTCTAAGGTTTCCTCAGTCTCACCAAATGGCAGTGGTGGCAGATAGTTGACTTCAGCTTTTTTTGGCCTTTTAAAGCCTTTAAGTGAACCCTCTTCACTGGAGCATCGTCTCTTCAGTGTGTATCAAGCTTAGTCCTCTATCAAGCTTAGTCCTTAAATCAGATAAAGTAATTATTGCAGGTGATTTTAATATTCATGTGGATGTTGACAATGACAGCCTTAGTAATGCATTTATATCATTAATAGACTCAATTGGCTTCTGTCAGAGTGTAAATAAACCAACTCATTGTTTTAATCACACTCTTGACCTTGTTTTATCATATGGCATTGATATTGAACATTTAATAGTGTTCCCACATAATCCTTTCCTATCTGACCATTATTTAATAACTTTTGAATTCATACTATTAGATTATAAGCCATTAGGCAAAACTTCCTACAGCAGATGTCTATCTGACAGTGCTGTAGCTAAATTTAAGGAGGAGATTCCTTCAGTGTTTAATTCAATGCCATGTCTGAATTTAACAGAGTCCTATAACAACTTTAGTCCCTCTGAAATTGATAATCTTGTCGATAGTGCTACAGGCTCACTACGATCAACATTAGACTCTATCGCTCCTATAAAAGGAAATTATTAAAACATAGGAGACTAGCACCTTGGTATAACCACCAAACCCGCCAGTTAAAGCAAATAGCTAGGAAATCTGAAAGGAAATGGCGCTCTTCCAAATTATCAGAATATCGCTCAAATTGGCAAGATGATCTTAAGATTTATAGAAAGGCCCTCCGTAATGCCAGAGGAGCCTATTACTCAGCACTAATAGAAGAAAATAAGAACAACCCTAGGTTCCTCTTCAGCACTGTAGCCAGGCTGACAGAGAGTCACAGCTCTATCGAGCCACATATCCCCATAAACTTAAGTAGCAATGACTTCATGAGCTTCTTCTATAATAAAATTATTACTATTAGAGAAAAATTAATCACCAACTGCCATCAACAGTTATCAGTGGCTCTCCAAGTTCAGGGACTTCTGTCAATGTAAACTTAGATGTATATTTAGACTGTTTTTCTGCTATCGATCTTCATCAGTTAACTTCAATCATTTCTTCATCGAAGCCATCAACCTGTCTGTTAGACCCGATCCCAACTAGGCTGCTTAAAGAAGTTGTTCCCTTAATTGGCACTTCTTTACTGGATATGATTAATCTTTCTTTATTATCAGGATATGTACCACAGTCCTTTAAAGTAGCTGTAATTAAACCCCTTCTTAAAAGTCTACTCTTGACCCAGGGGTTTTAGCCAACTATAGACCGATTTCTAACCTCCCGTTCCTCTCTAAGATTCTGGAGAAAGTAGTCGCCAAAGAGTTGTGTGACTTTCTACATAACAATAGTTTATTTGAGGATTTTCAGTCAGGATTTAGAGTTCATCATAGCACAGAGACAGCTCTGGTTAAAGTTAATAATGACCTTCTGACTGCTTCTGACAATGGACTTGTCTCTGTACTTGTATTATTAGATCTTAGTGCTGCATTTGACACCATTGACCATGATATTCTTTTACAGAGACTTGAGCATCAAATTGGCATTAAAGGAACTGCCCTAACCTGGTTTAAGTCATACTTATCAGATCGTACTCAGTTTGTACATGTTAACGATGAATCCTCCATAAATACTAAAGTTAGTCATGGAGTTCCACAAGGTTCTGTACTTGGACCAATACTATTTACTTTATATATGCTCCCTTTAGGCAACATTATTAGGAATCACTCCATTAACTTTCACTGTTATGCAGATGATACGCAGTTATATCTATCAATCAAACCCAATGAAATTAATCAATTATCTAAATTACAAACATGTCTTAAGGACATAAAATCCTGGATGACCTGCAATTTTCTGATGTTAAACTCAGAAAAAACCGAAATTCTTGTTCTTGGCCCCAAAACCTTAGAGACTCATTGTCTAAAGATATAGTCACTCTAGATGGCATTAACTTGGCCTCTAGCACCACTGTCAGGAATCTTGGAGTTATCTTTGATCAGGATTTGTCATTTAACTCCCACATAAAGCAGACCTCTAGGACTGCCTTCTTTCATTACGTAATATTAGAAAAATTAGACACATACTATCACAGACAGATGCAGAAAAACTAATCCATGCATTTGTTACTTCAAGGCTGGATTACTGCAACTCTTTATTATCAGGTTGCCCCAATAAGTCCATTAAAACGCTCCAATTAATTCAGAACGCTGCAGCACGAGTACTGACAGGAACTAGAAAAAGAGATCACATCTCTCCTGTACTAGCTACTCTGCATTGGCTCCCTATAAAATGTAGAATTGAATTTAAAATACTCCTCCTCACCTATAAAGCTCTTCATGGTCAGGCCCCTTCATATCTTAAAGAGCTCATAGTACCCTATTACCCCACTAGAACACTACGTTCTCTGAATGCTGGGCTACTTGTGGTTCCTATAGTCTCTAAAAGTAGAACAGGAGCCAGAGCCTTCAGTTACCAAGCTCCTCTCCTGTGGAACCAGCTTCCAGTTGTGGTTCGGGAGGCAGACACCCTCACCACTTTCAAGAGTAGGCTTAAGACATTCCTCTTTGATAAAGCTTATAGTTAGGGCTGGATCAGGTGAGTCCTGAACCATCCCTTAGTTATGCTGCTATAGGCCTAGACTATCGGGGGATTTCCCATGGTGCACTGAGCTACTCTCTTCCTCTCTCTTTCTGCACTCATTCATGTCCCTTTAATGCATGTTACTAACTCCACTTCTTCCCCGGAGTTCTTGTGCTTTCTCGTCTCGCAGGTTCTCATGGATCCTGGTGGAGCCTCCTGCCATGGTCCTGCTTGACTGCCATTGCCAATACTGTTGTTGCTGTGCACCTGTCTGTCTGTCTGTCGCTCTCTCTCTCTCTCTCTCTCTCTCTCTCTCTCTCACCCCAACTGGTCGAGACAGACGACCACCCACCTAGAGCCGGAGGATCTGTCCTAGGTTTCTGCCTTTTAACAGGCAGTTTTCCTTGCCCTTGTCGCCAAGTGCTTGCTCATGGTGGTACTGTTGGGTCTCTGTAATTAATGTTAAAGAGTTCGGTCTAGACCTGCTCTATTTGAAAAGTGTCCTGAGATAACTTCTGTTATGAATTGGCGCTATACAAATAAAATTGAATTGAATTGAATTGAATTGTTCACCTCGAGCTCTGGAATGGGTAATTGGCGACCTCTTAACTTTGCCCTGTAGTTGCCCATTTTATACTTTATCCTCTGTTGCCAACCATATAGGCCATTAAAAGACCCTGGCTCTTTGAGGCATGGGTATTTTTCTACCAAGGCTTCAGCAACAGCTAAAATCTGGACACCAGTTGGATATGCTGTGAAGCCAAATATAGTCTCTGCGAGCTTCTCAAGAATGCTACTAGTTACTCTTGGGTTGTTCAAAAGTGTGCCATAATTTTCATAAGCTTGCTTTCCTGCTTCCAGTGCAAGGTCTACATCATAAGAAAAGACTGGTATTTCAAACTTAAATGGCCATGGCTTAGACCTGTAGGATGGTCCACTCTCATCTGGGGAGGAAAGCAGGATTGTGTCACATCCAGATGAAGAGGAGCTTGCTTCCGTAGATAGTGGAACTGGAGATTCGACCTCTGACATGTCCACAGGAGTGAGACTCAAGATTACTGGTTCAGTTTTTACTACTTTGAGGTTAGCTTTATCTTGTACTTCCTCAATCGAGGTCAAAGTGAAGAACTGACCATCGAAATCCATGTCCTGGTACATAACAGTGAATGGTCCTGTAATATCAAATGTCTCTCAAAGAACATCAGTGAGGTCCTGAAGTGTGCTTGGGATGCCTGCAGGTAAAAGTAGTTTACGGACATCATCCTCCCCAAAAATTATCCGCAGTTTCGCTGGGGGGTGCCATATCAACAGGAAGAAGCTGCAACAACAGAGAAGAGAAATACACAGACATTTATTCGCAAGCTTCTCTCCTCATACTTAAAAGGATAGGCAAATGTGGTGCTTCAAAGTTATCAGGCGTCTTCCTGCAAGGGTGTATGGAGCCAAAGGATAAAAATCTTTAAGCTCTCTTTGCTCAAGTAACTGCACACTCCCTGTGTTCTCCAGCTCATAACTCCTCAGGTGTACATTGTACCATGTATTTTGTTGTCTCACAAAAAAAGTCAGTTTGTTACAAATCACCATTATCTGCAACACTTCAGAAAAGTCAGGCAGTCCTGCAGTGGAACCACAACACAACAACATTCCCACTGCATAGTTGGTGCCCAAATTGCACACATTATTGGCAACATGCACAGCCGTAACAGCAGGGAATCTGCATTTCACCAGGTCTTTTAGATCATCCTTAAGCACATCTAAAGAGACCTCTGTTGTTTTTGTGATTGCAAGTGATGGTTTGACAGCATGTGATTGATGGTATGCAACCATGAGCTGGTGCTTATTTGCAAGGGACAGCAAGATATTCCTGAAACAACCAGTGTGTCTGACCACCTTCTTGAAAAAGCTGTGTTTGGCCTCGAATCTCATTGTCCAGAGGGCAGCAAGGGGGCCAAATTCCCGAATGAGCTGAGGATAATGCTCAAGGAAATGGTGCTTGGGAATGAGCTTATGTTGGGGGAAATCATCAAGGAATCTGCT